TCTCCAAAGTTAGCTACCAAAGGCTTAAGCTTTTCCTCAATCACTGTTAATTAAAGAAAGCTCTGTTCTCAATACTCTCTTAAAACATTATCTCAGCATTTCCTGCAAGGTTTGTGTGTTATTCTTGAGAAGCTGGATTAACTGACCTTGTCCCCTCTTTAGAAATTAAAAAGGTGATCTTATCTAATCCCTCAGGTGTCAGTGAGTCTGCATACCTGGGTATTTATCAGTGAACTCAAGGATGTAGCTGGGACCCGTAAATTCACAAAAACATTCATTAGAGTTAGAGAGAGATGGTCTTCGTCTCACGTGTATGCTATGCCCACTTTCTTTAAACAGTCATGATCCCTCACCCCTGTGATTCTGACCAATTACACAATTTCTGTTCTGTTCTTTGACCTATGCTTATAAAAATGAGTTGCATCTTCAACTTGAGGTCTTTGGCGAGAGGCAGTGTCTTTGACCCGTCCTTTATTAATGGGTCTGTGCTCTGTTAATAAACTGTTATCTTGCGCAGAGAATTGCCTCAGTTTACCTTTTTTGTTAAATTTCACACACAACTATAAACTTAATATGTCATAGTCTCAAAATAGCTAGTATTTCAAGATTTGCAAAGCACATTACATATTTTATTTCAGTTGATCTTCACAACAAACTTTACAAAGTAGGTGCTGTTATTCTTTCTGTTTTGCAGATAAGGAAACTAAGACTGAGATGCTAGGCTCCTTGTTCAGTGTTCATACCTAGTTAAGTGTCCAAGCCAAGACATGTACTCAGATCTTCCTGGCTCTACCTCCAGCATTGTATCTACTGTGTCATCTAATTGTCTTATCAATTTGGAGCTGGACAAGACCCCAGAAGTCATCTTGTCCCATTGGCTTATTTTACAGATGAGGAAACTGAAGCCAAATGAAGTTAAATAACTCACCCAAGGTCATATGGTCAATAAATAACAGAGCTGGGATGTGAACCCAGGTCCTCCAAACACCAAAGCCAATGATCTTTCTGCTTTACTGGGTTGCCTTCCCAAGTGATCTAGCACAGAGAAAATTAAAACATTCTGAGACTACATTAAGAGAGGCATAGTATCCCAGGTTAAGGAAGCAATAGTCAAAATACAAACTCTGTTTGGCATTCAAAACACTTCATGCCTAGCCCTTTTCATACCTTACTTCCCATCATGTACTCTTCAATCCAGTGACACTGGCCTCCAGGCTGTTCCACAAACAAAACACTCCCATCTCTCAGTTCCCCATTCCTGGAACATTTTCTGTCCTCTGTCCTGATTTCTGACCTCTCTGGCTTCCTTTAAGTCTCATCTAAAATCTCACCTTCTACACTAAGCTTTCACAGTCCTTAATTCCAGTGCCTTCCCTCTGCTAATTACTTCCTATTTATCCTGTATTTATTTATTTGTATATTGTGTCCCCCATTAGACTATAAACTCCTTGATGGCAGGGACTGCCTTTTGCCTCTTTTTTGTATCCTCAGCACAGAACAGTGCCTGGCACACAATAGGCTTAATACATGTTTATTGATTGATTGATACTGGACAGATTACATCTGGAGTACTATGTTTTCTGGGTGCTACCATCAGGAATGACCCTGATAAGCTGGAGGGCATTAAGAGGTATGTGACTAGAAAGACAAATGGCCTCAAATTCATGCCATATGAAGATCACAGGGCCTCTTCTGTGGAAGAGGAGACTTAAGTAGAACATCATGACTGTCTTTGAGTATTTGAAGGGATTTTACATGGAAGAGTTACTAAATTTGTTCTTCTTGGGCCAAGAGAATAGGCCAAGGAGCAAAGGGTGAAAATTGTAGAGAGGTAAATTTAGGCTAGTTATAAGGAAAAACTTCCTAACAATTTGTTACTGTTCAGTCATTTTTCAGTCATGTCTGACTCTGCATGACCCCATCTGAGGTTTTCTTGGCAAAGATACTGGAGTGGTTTGCCATTTCCTTCTCCAGCTCATTTTACAGATAAGGAACTGAGGCAAAGAGGATTAAGTGATTTGCACAGGGTCACCCAGCTAGTAAGTGTCTGAAGCCAGATTTGAATTCAGGGAGATGAATCTTTCTGACTCCAGGCCTGACATTGTATCGCCTAATTTCCCCATGACAATTAGAGCTAACCAAAAGAAGAATAAACTTTCTTGAAATGCTGTAGGTTCAAGTAAAGGTTGAACAACTCCTTGTCAAGTATGCTAAAGAAATGATTATGTCCACTGAGGTTCCTTCCAACTTTGAAATTCTGTGAAGTATTTGAAGAGTATATGAAAATAAATTAGACTTCTTCCTCTCTGCTCCAAAGTACAAAATTGGGAGCAGTGAGTAGAAGCTATAAAGAGGCAAGTTTAGGCTTGATATAAAGAAACATTTCCTAGCAAATAGAGCTGTCTCAAAATGGAGAATCTGTTCCAGGGCATGGAACCAGGAGCAATGGGTGGAAGCTGCAAAAAGGCAAATTTAGGCTTGATATCAAGAAACACATTCTAACAACTAAAGCTGTTGTCCCAGAAGTAAAACTAAACAGAATTGACATTTTCAAATTGTGGTGTTGGGAGAAGATTTTTGAGAGTCCCTTGGACAGCAATGAGGACAAATCAGTCAATACTTGAGAAAATTAATTCAGGCTATTCACTGGAAGGTCAAACACTGAAGCTGAAGTTTAAACACGGGCCACACAATGAGAAGACAGGACTCATTGGAAAAGACCCTGATGTTGGGAGAGATTGAAGGCAAAAGGAAAAAGAGATGTCAGAGGATGAGATGATTAGACAGTATCATGAAAATGACAAACATTAACATGGACAGACTTCAAGAGATAGCGGAGGATCGATAGAAGAGCCCAGGGTGCTCTGGTCTATGGGGTCACAAAGAGTCAAACACCACTGAACAACAAGATCCCTTTCAACTCTGAAGATTTTCTGTGATTCCATGACCGAGAAAAGGCCATTGAATTATAAAAGGAGGTTGGTGAGTTTGAAGAAAAGTTTTTGTTTTTGCTTTTAGAATTGACTATCCTTTATGTAATTTCGACTGTAAAAAGGAGGAAAGATATAAGAAAGTTTGGTGATGGAGCAGGGATGGAGAGATGAGAGCATCAAGAAAAATGGATCCAGTCAAACTATTTCCATGATTTCCTCCAGTAGAAATTGAAAACTCATGGCTGGGAGTGGAAAAAGCAAATGGTGAAGATTATCAAGATGGGAACAGCAGAAGCAAAAGTGATCAAGAGTGAGAACATTATATTGATGAGCTGCCTAATGGCAGAGTCAAATTTGTGAAAGGAAGTGAAGGCACAATAGGAGTGATAAACTGGGAAAACAACCATGGATCAAGGAATCAGAAGTTATGATAAGTACAAAAAATAAACTTGGAATAAAATGGAAAAACAAAAGAATATGATCAGAAAGGGGAATTGGTGAGTTTAAGATCTTTGAGGTTGCATAGTCTGGGGAGATGGTAAGGTTTAAACTTGAGTATGGCTGATGTAAAGTGAAAATGGATGTAAAGAGGTTTAAAATTGATAAGGAGGCCAGGGCATTAAGTCATCAGCAGAAATATTAAAGTTGCTCAAGATAGTGCCAAGGTGTTCAGGAAGAGAGGAAGACTGTAAACTTTAAGGGAAAGCCAAGTTTCAAGACAGTGATCTCTAAGGTCCCTTCTAATTGTAACATTCTATAAATCTTTTGACTTTCCAACTGGGGCCAGGAACCAGAAGGAAGGTATTTTAATCAATGAGCATAGCGCTCCATAGATATTCACATATACATGTAAATAATGGGTAAGCAAAAAATCTCATTACCTTTTAAAACAGGTCCTATTTAAGACTAAAATGTAGGAATGATAAATATAAAATATTGAGTTGGAGGTAGTGAACTACTGGAGATGAAAGAGCAGTTCATTTTGGAGGTCTTCCGTTTTTTGGTGAAAAATCTGGAATTTTCTGATAAAATACTTTTCTTCTTTTTATTTAGTCCAGACCTATGATTTCCCATATATGTGGATCTCTTAGTATGAAAATATTCTTCACTGATAAAGATCAGCAAGTAGTCTAAGAGAATTGAGGCATTGAGAGTTTAAGTGAACTAACCATGGTCACACAGACCTAACCCTAACCCAACCCTATGTGAGAGCAGAACTTGAAACCAAATCTTCCTTACTGGCCTGCAAAGCTCTCTATCTATTATACTATACTGTCTTACTTACCATCCAGGACTGACTGGTGAGTGAGTGCAAACTTATCACTCTATTTAGCTGGCCTTGGGCCATCCACTCCAGATATCTTGATATCTGCCCTCCTGACACACATACCCTACTTAGCATCATCACCACTACTACTACTACTACTACTACTACTACTATTCCTTGTGACTCTAAGAACAGTAATCAACAGTACTACCATTGCTTCTGGAAAGGATAAGACAATTAACTTGGCTTTATTTGGCATTTTTGTGACTGCTCAGACCAAAACTTCCTTTCCTGGTCAGTATTTATACACACACACACACACACACACACACACACACACACACACATCTACATATTATGATCACTCCTTCCTTAAATGGAATCCAGAGAACTATGGTGCAGGCACCCCTGTAGTGTGTGTGTGTGTGTGTATGTGTGTCTATAATTATAGTTTATTAGAATATAAGCTTCTAGAGGACATGGACTATCTCACTTTTGCATCTTGATTCCCAGCATCTACCATAGTGACCGGCATATATAAGACATTTAATAAATGCTTTTCCACTCATTCATTTATTCCATCTGCCCAAACCTAACCCTTCTTTAAATATAATTATGGGAATTGGGACAGGGAAGTGAAGAAGGAATGGGTGGAATTTGAAGTCAGATATAGTTTTGATTTTTTTTGTTTTTCTTAAGAGCTTTTATATTAAGATATGTTTTCCCCCCATGAGTCTTCAGTATTTTACCCAGGGAATAAATTACAAATGACCCACATTAAAAGAAAACACACACACAAATTATACTTAGTGAAAGAACATTTATTAAATTTTGTATGGCTATGACAAAGAAAATAATGGAGTATTGGTACCTTTAAAATTTCTCCCATAACAAGCAGGAAGCGCTTAAGAATATGTTTTACAGGAAAATTCCTTTAAAAGTATTTCTGATCCTTCAAATTTATATCATAGTATATGAGGTGTTGGTAAGGTTAACATCACCAGAAATGCCCAGCTTGTTGATCTCATGGAAATTTTTCATTCGATGATTGTACTGCAACAAGTGGGCATCATTGACTGCAACCTTGAAATGATCAGCCTCAATGAGAACTTGAATCTGAAATGATATGTAAACAAACTTGGTTATACACTCCCATCTGCTTCAGCACCTAGTTAACCTAAGTTCAAAGGTCCAGATTAATAACAGGATTACTGGCCATCCCCATGATGACCATATTGGTTTAAGGCTTTAGAACTCGACTATGTCATAATGACTTTCTCCATGCTTCCACTTTTTGGAGTCTACTAACAGAGCTTCAAAGGCAGGGTTGAGAATTAGGATCTGAAATGCCTTCTTTTCCCCTATGGGAAGCAAGATTTTCACCAAAATGACCAATGTAATTAGCTATGTTTCACCCCATTTCTAAAAGGCTATTTTAATCTGATAGATCAACTCCACTTTGTATGCTATAAACATGATATGCCATACACAATGCTTTCTGTTGTTCTTGCATCATTGGCCTGGATCACTCTTTCCTTAAATGGAACTAGAGAACTATGGTGCAGGCACCTCTGTTGTTTCTGGACATGGCTTCATAATGCTACAGGTAAAGGAAAGGATCAGAATAAGAGGGGATAATTAAATGTAGATAATGACAAGAGTCCCCAATCTTTTCGAAAGGAGCTACTTCTAATTTCTCTCCAATCTTACGACTAACATAGTGGGGAAGGGAAGAGCTGACAGTGTTAATCATGACTAGAGAGGGGAGGGGTTTTTAATGTTCTTACACAGCCCTCCTCATTGAAAATTCCAACAAATCTCAAAGAAGGGAGAAGGTGGCATGGAAACAGGCCTAGAGATATAGGAGCATATAAAAACCTACTGTTTGGAGAATCCTGAGGTAAGAATTTGATAGCAAACTGATGGCAACATCCCTTCTAGAACATTCATGTTTAAGCTATTTCATATTTCATTTGCATTTCATATAAAAGACTCTTCACGCTGACTTACTTTGAATGGCTTGCCAGCTTCAAATGGGAATGTAGCATGTCTTTCCTCCGTTCCCCAGTTATTGCTGAATTTTGAATTACAGACAATTACTCGTCTGCCACCTTCATTGAAGCGAGGATTGAAGTGGAAGGCCACATCATTCCCTTTCTTGAAATCCAACGTAAGTCTATTTAGGAAAAAAAAAAACTCTTTAAGTAGAAATTGAGTTTAGTTACAAGGTCATACTTGTTAGACACTTCCAAATGGATATCCTGTAAGTATTTCAAACTCAGTATGTCCAAAACAAAACTTGTCTTTCCCTTCAAGTCCTCCCTTTTCCTTGACTTCCTTATTTCTTTTGAAGGTATCATCATCATTCTGGTAACCCAGCATCAGAATCTCAGATATCTTTGTCTCTTCCCATACCTTTATACCCCTCACACTCAATCAGTTGCCAAGTCTTGCTGATTCCACCTACACAATTTACCTTGAAACCATTCCCTCCTCTCCACTCACATGGGTATCAGCTTCAATCAAGCTTTCTTTGCCTCTCAAATGGACTAGTACAATAGCATCCTAATTTGCTTCCTTGCCAAAGTCAGTCCCCTCTCCTAAGCATCCTCCATAAAACTTCCAAATTGATAGACCTAAAGCACAGGTCTGACCATGTCACTTACCTGCTCAAGAAGCTCCTTGGGTTCCCTATTGCTTTTAGGATAAGATGCTAATTATTCTGTTTAGCTTTTAAATCCCTTCTAATCTGGTTCTAGTCTCCCTTTCTAGACCTATTTTTAAATTACTCTCATTTGTGCACTCAATGTTTCAGCAATACTAGCCTATTTGCTATTCCTTATATATGATATTCCTTCTCCCATTTCCAAGCCATCTCCCTCAGGTCATCCCCCACACCTGGAATACGCTCCCTCTTAAACTCAGCTGCAGAATCCCTAGCTTTCTTTAAAGCTAAGTTCAAGTGTTCCTTCCTACAAAGTCTATTCTGATTTTCCTTACTCCCCCAGGTGTTAGTGCTCTCCTTCTCTCTGGAAAGTAATTTAAGGGGCAGCTAGGTGGCATAATGGATAGAGCACTGGCCCTAGAGTCAGGAGGACCTGAGTTCAAATCTGGCCTCAGATAAGTGTCTAAGTGACACTTACTAGCTGTGTTACCCTGGGCAAGTCACTTAACCCAGATTGTCTCCCCCCAAGAAAGAAATTTACATGGTTTTGTATTTAGTTTTCTATGTATGTTATTTTCGCCCAATAGATTTAAGCTCCTTGAGGGCAGAGACATTTTTTTTTTAAATCTTTATATCCTTAGCTCCCAACAGAGTGCCAATGAAGCTAAATAAATACTTGTTCAATTGAATTGTCAAATGACTATCAATTGTTCAAGTTTTATAAACAAAGGACATCATTTTAGTTGAGGGCATCACTTTCAATTTTACTGAGAAAATGGAGGCCACACATTGTGAGCTCCCACTTTTCCTCAGTCACATACCTCAAACTCCACCCAGCATCATTCCTTATTTTCTCCTCCATTCTCTGATATAGAGGATTCAGGGGCTTGTATTAGCATGGAGGAGCAGCTAGGAGGCACAGCGGATAGAGCATCAGATCTGGAAGCAGGAAGACTCACCTTCCTGAGTTCAAATAAAACTGGCCCCAGACACACACTACCTGTGTGATCCTGTGGGCAAGTCACTTAACCCTGTTTGCTTCACTTTCCTCATCTGTAAAATGAGCTGGAGAAGGAAATGGCAGTCTGTTACTTTTGCCAAGAAAACCCCAAATAAGGTCATGAAGAATCAGACACAACTGAACAACAACAATTAGCATGGAGGAGGCTGGCACATCTTTAAAAGCCAAGAAGTAAGTCCTTTATCTGCAAGTACTGGCAACTGATTGAGCTCCAGGCTGGAGTCAGGAAGACATGAGTTCAAATCCGCCTTTTTCTAGCTGGGCAAGTCACTTAACCACTGTTTGCCTCACTTTCCTCATCTGGAAAATGGCGATGATAATAGCACCTACTTCATAGAATTGTTGTGAGGATCAAATAAGATAATAATTGTAAAGCACTTAGCACAGTGCCTGGCACACAGTAAGCACTGTACAAATGTTAGCTATTTTTGTTTTCTCTACACACTTGCTATCCTTCCAACATCTGGTGTTTACTATAATCCATAACTTCAACAATTCATATCCTACAATAAATCTCACTATAATAAGGAACTGTGTGTTGGTTTTGCTTTCAACCTTTGTAGATAGGAGTAATGTTTACCACATGAATAATTATTCATTTAGAAAGCATTAGTGCTAATGGACAGGAGAGAGAATGTGATCATTCCCCCAGCCATTGTAATGAGCCTTACAAACCTAGAATAAATTCCCAGGCTCAAAAGGCTATTGTGGCTCTCTATTCCCTTTAGACTAAAATACAAAATCCTTTGTTGCACACTGAAAGTCCTTCACAATTTGATTCCAGTGGACCTTTCCAGACTCACACTATTCTGCCTCATGCACTCCGTATTCCAGCCAAACTCATTTTTTGTTGCTCCCCTTACACAACATTCCATTTTACACAAGCAGTCCTTTTTGTCTGAAATAATCTCCCACTTCTACTTTTGGGGGGAATCCTCTAGCTTCCTTCAAGGACCAGCACCAGGACCACCTTCTACACAAAGCCTTTCCTTATTTCCGCAGTTGTTAGTGCTTTTCCCTTAAATTACAGTATTTAATATATTCTTTAAAAATACTCACATCTTGTATCCCTCCAGTAGAATATAAACTCCTCACTCAGCAGGCACTTAAAAATGCTTGTTGAATTGAATTTTCTAAGACAGTCAGTTAATAAACATTTATTAAGCCCTATTTTGTTCCTGGCACTATGCTAAGTGCTGTTGATACAAAAAGCAAATGATGGTCCTTGCCGTCAAGGAAACTGAAATCTAATGAAGGAAGACAACACATAGAAAGAAACTGAAAAGCAGGGTAGAGGGGACGTGGGGAATGGACAGGGAGGGTGGCCCATGAGCAGGTGGGAAATTTAATGAGATGGCTGCCCTGGGGACCTTCCTTAAATGGAGAATCTAGGAGGAACTCTCCGATGTCCACCCTCGAAACCTGTCAGCAAAAACAGACAGCCAAATGAATTGGAACAGGGTTATGAGAAAGGACACAACAATGTGAACACTAGATAAAATATTCTGTATACTAGGGCCACGATGTTGAATGTTTGTGAGTACATTTATGTTAAATTTGTAACCACCTCTCAAGGAAAAGGTGAGAGGGTCTCTAGCTTATTATAAAGGCTGAGAACATGACCAGAGAAAACAGTGCATTGGCTATTATAGAACTTCAGGCAGCCAGCCTGAATATAAGGCCAGTACCTGAACACTCAGCCTCTGGAGGAGAAGCCCTACAGAAGAACAGAAGATAGTGTTACTGCTGCTGCTGTTAACAATAACAACATTAATAATAGCTAACATCTACAATTATTAATCTCATTTGATTTTCACAACAACTCTGGGAAGTTGGTACTATTATTATCTCTATTTTATAGATGAGGAAACTGAGGCAAAACAGAGCCCAGGATCAAACAGGTAGTCAGTGTCTGAGGTCAGTTTTGATTTTTTTTTTTTTGGTGAGGCAATCCGGGTTAAGTGACTTGCCCAGGGTCACACAGCTAGCGAGTTTTGAGGCCACATTTAAACTCAGGTCCTCCTAACTCCAGGACTGGTGCTCTATCCACTGTGCCACCTAGCTGCCCCCTCTGAGGTCAGTTTCGAACCCAGGTCTTCCTGCAGGGAATCAAGAGATTCAAGATAACTTGAATTTCTTGAGGTTGCTTCCTGAGCCATTAGTTTCAGAGGCAGATCAGATTGTGAGACTCTTTGGTACCTAAGGAATGAAATTTTGCTTCTGTGCCTATGGAAACTCCAATTCCATGCATTGGAATTTATACAGTTACTGACTCCACTTTGTCTAGTATTTTGTTTTTCCCAGTTACATGTAAAAACAATTTTTAATATTTGTTTCTAAAACTTTGAGTTCCAAATTCTCTCTTCCTCCCTCCCCACCCCTACCCCCATTAAGAAGGCAAGGATTTCGATATAGGTTATACATGCGCAGTCATGCAAAACATATCCATAATAGTCATGTTGTGGAAGAAAACAGACGAAAAAAACTTCAAGAAAAATAAAGTAAAAAAGTATGCTTCAATCTATATGCAGACACCATCAGTTCTTTCTCTGGAGATGGGTAGCATTTTTCATCATAATACTGACTCCACTTTGACACTTCACTTAGTTAAGGAGATTTGGTTTTATTTTAAAAAAAAAAAAAAAAATTTTCTCCTGAAGTGCTGATGCAGCTACGGGGTAGGGTCTTTGATTATTAAAGAAAGGTAGTGTTGCAGAGTGGAAACAGTTCTGGACTTGGAAACAAGATAATCTGGATTCTGTGTGAAGTGGGCAACCACTTAACTTTTTAGAATTTCATTTACCTCTTCTGTAAAACAGTGATGGACAATAGCACATACTTCAAAGGGACTGTGAGGATCAAATGAAATAATTTTGCAAAACTTAAGGCATTATATAACTGTGATCCAGAGTTGTTAAAAAGAATTGTCTAGCTTTCTATGCCTAAAACTCAGCGATATTAAATTACCCAACTGAGGGAACTCATTCCAGCATTACTCACAAACATTAGAGAACAATGGTAGTTTTACTATAAATACAAAAGGGCAGGGCCAACTATCGAATATGACTAACTATATAAATGTTTTGTTTCACCTGCAGGAAACAAAGTAAAATGAAAGAGATGGGGCCATCTGTAGTTCTTTGACAGTAAGAGTAGCCTTTAGCTTAATGTTTAATACCTTTTACTCAAGTCTTCCAGCAGTTGGACTTTGAGTAGACTTTTTGGAGGCTAAACAATTGATAGAATCCTTCCAAATGCCTTAAATTGCAATATATACTGCCTTAAAAAATATGGAAAATCTGAAAAACGAGAACACAAATACTGCCTTAAAATCACAGTGTAGTGGCAAGAATGCTGACTTGATCCAGAGCTTATAAATCAATCTGTGGCATAATAACAACAACATTACATATTTTATCTAATTTTAGGCACATAATAACCCTTTAAGAGAAGTTCTCTTTCATTTTACAGAGAAAGAAACTGGAGGGGAGTGGCAGCTAGGTGGCACAGTGGATAGAGCATCAGTCCTGAAGTCAGGAAGACCTCGGTTCAAATCTAGCCTCAGACCAAACACTTACTTGACATTTACTAGCTGTGTGACTCTGGGCAAGTCACTTAACCCCAACTGCCTAAAAAAAAAAAAAAAAGAAAGAAAGAAACTAGGGTTAAACGAATTGCCCATTATCATACAATTTTTGTTGTTGTTAGTCGTTCTGTGGTGTCCAACTCTATGTGAACCCATGGATTTTTGTCTCAGCAAAGATACTGGAGTGGTTTGCCATTTGCTTCTCTAGTGTGTCCTCATTTTACAGATGAGAAATTGAGACAAATAGGGGTTAAGTGACCTGCTCAGGGTCACAAAGCTAGTAAGTATCAAAGGCAGAATTTGAATTCAGATCTTCTGGGCTGTAGGTCCAATACTCCATCCACTATGCCATTTGGTCTCTTTAATATGTTAAAGAGATATTGAGGCCTCTTTAAAAGCTGTGTTTTACTGTATTGAAAATAACCCTTCTTGGGGTTGAGGATAAGTAGAAAGAAAAAGATGGGAAGTTAAATATAAAATTTCTATTATCAGCACACCACCTTTCGTTCTTAAAATAAAAATCCTATTGAAAGTAAAAATTCAGCATTTTCAACTTTTCCCGATGCTAACTAAAAATATTATTATTATTAATTCTTCTCTTACTTGTTTGCATTGGGTTTTGTTGTGCCGATAATGGTTATTAGCATGCGAGGCATAATTCCTCCTGGCAAGGGAAGATCATAAGGCACCATCTGCGAATGAAAAAGATATTTATATATATATATGAAAAGAAGCAACCTCCCAGACACTCCCATCTCCCTAAACTTCTCCTCCAGTCATCAGATCCTCTTCCCAGCCCCTCCTCCCAATACCCCAAAATTACTTGGCTGTATATAAGATTCATCCTGGACCCCATTTAAATGCTGAGATTTCCGCATGCCCGCTCACCCTTACAGGCATTACTAATGTTCAGATTCCTTAAGAGTCTGGCCTGTATGGTCCATCTCAAATAAAACTTTGTCTTTGGCTGAAAGAAGACTTGGGTCAAATTCATTCGAGCAGGACCTGTGTGTTGTGATTTCAAGGTCGAAGCACCCCAAGAATCTACCCCTCATCACTGATCAATCAAACCGGCATTTGTTAAGCAGTTACTATGTGACGGGTACCACGCTAAGTGCTGGGGATTCAAAGAAAAAGCAAAAACAGTCCCTGCCCTCAAGAAGCTTAAATTCTATTGAGGAATACAACATGTGAATGATTAAGTATATATGAGATACATACAGATACATACAGATGAAAGGTAACTTTTGGAAGAAAGACACTAATAGCAGACTAGGAAAGGCCTCCTGCAGAATGTGGCATTTGAAATAAATCCTGGGGGGCAGTTAGGTGGCACAGTGGATGGAGCACCGGCACTGGATTCAGGAGGACCTGAGTTCAAATCTGGCCTCAGACACATAACACTTACTAGTTGTGTGACCCTGGGCAAGTCACTTAACCCCGTTGCCTAGCCCCCCCCCCCAAAAAAAAGAAAGAAAGAAATCCTGAAGGAAACCAGCAATTCTAAGAGGAAGAGGTAAGGAGAGAGAATATCAGACATGGAGGACAGCAAGTAGAAATGTAGAGAACAGGGAGATAGGATGTTATGAAGAACAGCAAGTAGGCCAGAATGCCTGAATTCCATGTTTACAAAGTCTTGAAATATAAGAAAATAGTTAACAAAAAAAAAAGATAAGAAAGATAAGAAAACACCAGATTATGAAGAACTTTAAATACCAATGAACTCTATATTTGATACTAGAAGTAACAAGGCACCACTAGATTTATTGTTTAGGAGAATGGTCAGGTCTACACTTTAAGAAAATCACTTTGGCAACTATTTGGAGAATGGATTAGACTGGGGAGAGGCTTGAGACAGGAAGACTAATTAGCATTATGACCAATCATAATTCAAGAGAATTGATGATGATACCCATCTCCTGACTGAGAGATGATGGAACTCAAAGTGCAAAATGAGACATACATTTTCAGATATGGCTAATGTGGCAAATTTTTCCCTTGACTATGTATATTTGTTATAACAGTTTTGTTTGTTTGTTTGTTTTTATTGGACAAGGAAAGTTAGATAAGAGAGGGAGGTCTATTGACAGAATGGCCAAGAAAAGAAAGAAAATAGTAGAAAATGAAAGAAAGGGGGAAAAGATCTTTTTTTTTTTGACATCTTTTTTTTTAATGCACAGAAGAAAGCAGAAGGAAATAGTGATAATCAGGATAGCTTTGAAAGTTACAAGTTGAACTTATTATATACTTAAAAGGAAAAGCAAGCTATACCTAACAAAGCATTGTAATTCTATTTACAATTCTCTTTTTATGTTCTACTATGTGTATGAAATGCTTATTTTATTTGGTGAAGTTTTTTTAAGTCCAGTGTTAAAGGTGAGGCTCCATTAATTAACCTATTCCACTTCAAAGTATTTACTTTTGTTAGGTAAGAACATTTATTGATGGAATCAATCAAAAAGAACTGAGCATGAACAGGGCCTATAAGACTCCTTGAATCAATCAAAGGCATGATATAAGAGATTTAATTACACCCTGGGGAACTTGTATAAAAAGCTGGATCTCAGAAACAGAGAAATTCTGAGGGTCTGGAGGTAGAGAAAAGTGGGGTCACACATTTCTTAGCCAGAAAGAATCAGCAACCCAGATGCCACTTATGTAAGGAAAAAGAGGTAGTAGTACTGAGCCATGAGAGAAAGGAAGGAGCAAGAAGAGAGCCGTCAGATGTATAAGCATCTTGGAGCAGAAGATTCAGGTTGACATCACCAGTTGTATCCACTTACTCAAAGGCTAAGGGAAATTCCAGGAAAAAAAAAGTATTGCTTTCCCTCTTAGGATCTGTTTATCCACAGACTCTATAATACAATCTACTGCTTTATTATGTTTCTGGCTATCTGAATTTTGCCTTAAATATAGCATCCAGGAGTTAACTATCGATAGATTGAAAATTTTAATTAAGGCAAAGAGTCACAGCTCAGCTTAAATGTTAGGAATTTTCCAAACTTAGAGCTCAGAATGTTTGTGATTATACTCGTAGTTTTTCATCTAAAATAAACTTTATAAAGCCATGGAGATGGGGACCATATGGATGTTAGGGGCCATTATATTGCCCCTAAGCCTTTTTGAAAAGTTAATTATAAGAAGATTTTACAACAGAATTTAAAATATGCACATATTTTTAAAAGCTACCAAAATAGTTTGGGTGAGAGGTGATGAGGACCTAAATTAAGGTCATGGCTCTAAGAGTGGAGAGGAAATAAATATGAGAGATTTTGTGGAGAGAGAAATGACAAGATTTGGTAACTAACTATAAATGAGAGTATAGATTCGAGCAGTTTTACAGGCCAAGGTAACAATAGCTCACATTTATATAGTCTGTGAAGGTTTACAAAGCACTTCCTCCAACCCTCATTACCTTGGGAGGGAGGTAACAGATACTGTTAAATTTTACATTTTACAAAAGAAGAGAGTACAAGATATGCATCAGCCCATCCTTCTCTGAGGAAACACATAAAATTTGTAAAAACCAACATCCTTTACTATGGGATTGGCATGAATTATTGCAGCTCCTAGACAATTCAATTTGATAAGTGCAATTCTACAAATATTTGTTGTGTTTATCATTTGCAGAGCTCTGTGTATTGGGAGAAACACGGTTTAAACATCTTTTGGGGAGGGAGTGTAATCTCTCACATGCACACACAGATCAGTATGATATGAAGTACTATATGTTAAGTCCATTAGAGTGGTGTGAAAAAGTGTTATGTGATATTTTGGGGGGAAAGGCCTTACTGACTACAGTGAACAATGTTTTCTATTTTGGTCTTCCAAATATTCCAACAGTAAACATTAGACTTTCACCACAGATTATTTGACTGCTAAAACTAGAGGAGGAAGTAGAATATCATATTATAATTTGACTACAGAGTAAGTCAGATGTTGGTCCATTTCTTAAAGAGAATAAAACAATTGAGGCAGTGTGTCATAAGGGATTAAGAGTTGGCCTCAAAACCAGAAGACCTAGGTTCAAGTTCTGCTTCTTGACACATACTAGCTATGTGACCTTGGACAAGTCACTTAATTTCCCTGTGCTTTAGGTAACTCTCTAAGACTATTAAGTTGCAGAGAAGGTGCTGATCTCTATTGTTAAAGGGAGTTTCCTCATGCATGAAGTTCCCTATACTAATCTAGTAGCTGTTCCTAAAGACATGAGAAGAAAGGAGTGCTAGGAAAGCTGGTGGCTTAGTAACTTGGTGGCTTCCAGGCATATGGTGAAAAGCATGGATATTTTAGGTCTTCTTGTTCAGTATTTCTTATATATACGTATCTGTATAAATTGGGTCTTGACACTTTTTGCATGTCTGAATTACTAACCAGAGCTTGTTTTCTACAAAAGCATTAGAAAATGATAGTTCTGCTTGTTCTAGACTACAACTTTGCCTTTTCTTAGGCTTTGTCAAATTAACAATAAGTCAGACACCTGGGATCATTCAACTCAAGCTTACCAGTGGGCCTCCCATAGGAGCTGTTGGTCCACCCATGGTCCCTGAATGCGGATAAGCTCCAGGAGCACTAGGCTGTCCTGGAGCTGGATAGGCTCCAGGCGCTGTTGGACCAGGGTAGGCCCCAGGTGCTCCTGAACCAGGATAGGCCCCAGGTGCTCCTGAACCAGGATAGGCCCCAGGTGCTCCTGCACCAGGGTAGGCCCCAGGTGCTCCTGCACCAGGGTAGGCCCCAGGTGCTCCTGCACCAGGGTAGGCTCCAGGATATCCTGGGTATGCTGCAGTACCAGCGGGCTGGTTTCCCCAAGGACCTTGGGGCCAACCTTGTGGGTTTGGATGTCCAGATGCAGATAAGGCATCATTAAGCTGGAAGAAAGAAGAAAACAACCATAAGAATGAAAACAATTTTCATAAACTTTTAAAATAAAATCGGGGAAGTAAAAAATAGAAACTGAAATATTTCAATCTAGAAAAAAGTAAGAGCAAGGATAAAAATAAAATTAATGCCTGTGAATTTTGTTACTTATTGTGTTAGCTGCTCTAATAAAGTTTTTGTTTGCACAGAAGGTTTAAATTATCTGTTTCCTGGATTGTGTCTCTTATTATATATATTATTATTCCCCATTATTGCAATTAATTCAGAATTACTTCTAGACACTCTAGTATAGGGTTTTTAATTGTAATCTTAAAACTTTAAAAAATCAGTGTTAGAGTGCATCAAAAATTTGTATTGCTAGGCTTCAATCCAATTTTATATTGCCCAGAATATTGCTCCATTTTAGCCAATGGGTGCTATGCTCTCTTCCTTCTAATGCTTTCCCACTGATCTGGGTTACTATTAATGACTCATGAACATCTTTACCTAATTTATGTTGCTTGAACCTGTGACTAGAAAAAACAAAATAAAACAAAACAAAACATCAACTGTAGTTAACAAGTCTTTGTGTAGTTGCAGTGAAAAGAGGACCCCCAGAATCATTGGCAGGGTAATTAAAAAGGGAAAGTCTAGTTATAAAAAAGCCTCACCTTTAGAAGAACATATTTTAGGAATAAAAATATAGAAATGAAAAACTTACAGAAAATCCGTCAGCCATTTTCCTAAAAATGAAAATAGAAAAATCCATCAATATCTACTCTTAAAATCCCATTTACAGACAGAGGAATCTTACCATTAAGAAACTTTCTCTTTCTGGTTTTATGCCATTTAGACTAGTTTATCCTAAACTTTGGGCAACTAGGTGGCGCAATGGATAGAGTGTTGGACCTGGAGGTAGGAAGATTCATCTTCCTGAGTTCAAATGTGACCTCAGACACTTACTAGCTGTATGACCTTAGGCAAGTCACTTAACCCTGTTTGCCTCAGTTTCCTCATCTTAAAACAAGTTGGAGGAGGAAAAGGCAAAACCCCAAATAAGGTCACGAAGAGTCAGACATGACTGAAATGACTGAACAACAAGCCTAAACTTATAAATACCCTGAAACATAGAATCCCTGTTTTTTCCTTTACTCTCCTTCATTCAACCAATATTACTCTCCTAACTTTTTATAACTATTTGTTCCTCTTAGGAAATAAAATCTGAAGTCAGCCTTTGACATGATTGATAACCCTCTCTCTCTTCTTAATACCATCTTCTCTCCAGGTTTTCAAGAACATCTGGTTCTCCTCCTACCTATCTGACTGCACCTTCTCAGTCTCCTTTGCTGGATCCTCATCCAGATCATGCCTTCTAACTGTAGGTGTTCCTCAGGATTCTGATTCTCTTCTTTTCTCCATCTATACAACTCCACTTGATGATTTTATCAGGTCCCATGTATTTAATTGTGAACAATTCTCAAATCTACCTATCCTATCTCCCATTGCCTTTCAGACATTTCAGATTGGATGTCAAGGAGACCAAATTCAGTATTTCCCCCCCAAAAACCTCCTCACTCTTACCTGCCTTATTACTGCAGAGGGCAACATCGTCCTCCCAGTCCCTCGGGCTCACAACCTAGCCGTCATCCCTCATTCCTCACTATCTCTCACCCTCCAGATAGATACAAGCTATTACCAAAGCCCACTAATTTCACATTTGTAACATCTCTTGAATACACCCTCTTCTCTCTTCTGGCACTGCCAACACTCTAATACAGGCTCTCCTCACCTCATGCCTGTACTGTTGTAACAGCCTGCTGGTAAGTCAGCCTGCCTCAAGATTCTTCCTACTCTAATCCATCTTCTATTCAGCCACCAAAATGATTTTCCTAAAGCACAAGTCCAGTCATGTCATCCGCTTACTCAGTAAACTCCAGTGGCTTCCTATTACCTCTAGGCACAAATACAAAATGCTCTGGCATTCAAAGTCCTTCATAACCTAGCCCCCCTTGTACCTTTCCAGTTTTCTTACACCTGTGAAGGGAATTATAATTTTTATAATAACCAATATGATATGTATAATGAATATACTAATAGATTAGCTTTTTTCCTTGTCAAAGTTTGTTTGGTCGTTTTAAGCTGAATTGCCTCTCTTGTGAGAGAGCTCACAATGCAGCTTAAAATGATCAAACTTTGACAAGGCTCACAATCACTGGCATCCTCGTGCCTGTGCACCTAAAGTGAAGTGAATCCAAGACTGTAGAACCTGTTCTCATCACAGAATTCTGGTCCTGTGACCCACCAAGTAACAACCCCCAAGACCTTGAGCAATATTGCTCCCATAGGACTCCAGAATTGTTGTGTTGTCTTCCATTTGTGGGATTGTTGTGGGAAACCACTCTGGCCCTGGGAACAATTGTTTGTAATCCACCTTCTCCCCTCCTTTCCCACTTGTGATTTATGTGTCTAATCTCTGTCTTCACTTCAGCAGGGTGCAATTCTGATCAGGAGACTTTCCGATTTGCAAATCTGTTCCCCATAATGAAACTGATTAATTAAATGGCTACCAGACTACTGGCACTTTGTCTATGGCCTGTTGTTTCGTTATTCTCAGGTTAGAGACTGGCTCGGTAAAATCCTGTTAACACCCCTTTCTCCCCACAAAATACTCTTCAGTCCAGCGATATTGGCCTCCTTGTTCCATGAACAAGACACTCCAATTCTTGGCTCTGGACATTCTAGGCTGTCCCCTATAACTGAAATATTCTCCTTCTTCATCTCTGCCTACTGACTTCTCTGGCTTCCTTTAAGTCTCATCTAAAATACCATCTTCTATAGGAAGCCTTTCTCAACTCCTTTTAACTCTAGAGCATTTCCTTTCTTAATTATTTCCTATTAATTCTGTATATAGCTTGTCATATATATATATATATATATATATTTGTTTGCTTGTTGTTTCCCTCATTAGATTGTAAGCTCCTTGAAGAAAAGGGTTGTCTTTTGCCTTTTTTTTTTTATATCCCCAGTGCTTAGCACAGTGCCTGGCACATAGTAAGCAGTATATAAATGTTAACTATTATTACTATACTCTTTGACTCAGCTATTACCATTATCATACATATATTCCCAAAGAGAAAAAAAAATCCAGAAGGTAATGGTCTCATTTGCACAAAAAAAAATTTATATTAGCACTTTTTGTTACAGCATAACAAAGTAGGTGCTCATCATTTGGGGAATGGCTATAGGATACAAATATAATGAAATATTATTGGACCACAAGAAGTGATAAAAGGGACAGATTTATGGAAACTTGAGAAAACTGTGTTTGAACTGATGGAGGATTAAGTGAACAAAACCAGAGGAACAATTTATGCATTAACTACAATAATGTAAGGGGGAGCAACTTCAAGAGATTTAAGAACTCTGATTGATCCAATGACCATTCATGACACAAGAAGATTCATGATGAAGCATGTTTCCCATCTCTTGGCAGGTAGGTGAACTAGACATATAATTTCAGACATGGATAATGTATTAATTTGTTTAACTATTTGTATTTGTAACAGGAGAGGGCTTTTACTTGATAGGGATAGGTGGGTAGTGATAGTCATACAAAACAACAAAAAAAGGCCTTATCATCACATGGCCCCTTCTAACCACCTAATTGCATTTACCTTTCTAGGTTTCTCTTGAATCTTTTGTTTGTATTTCAAAGTTCCTACTCAGCTCTAGTCATTCATCAGGAAGGCTTGAAGGACCTCTAATCCATTAAAGGTCTCTCTGGAGTCCATACCCCTATTCCCTGACCAGTGTTTTCCACTGGTCAAGTAATTCCTGTTCAAAGCTACATGGCCAATTTTTAGAAAGGAGAGAGAAGTCCCTTCCCCCACCTTGGGAGTCTTCTTCATAAGTAGCGCCTGGCCTGTACTCCCTTGAATTGCCAATTTCAGTCCAGGCCTTAACCTCTTTAAAGCCCTACTCAGCCAATTTGTTTCCAATTTGTCCAACTTCTGCTCGTCCCAATAGGCTCAAAGGTAAATGGTTAAACTTCAGCAAAGACATTCACACATTAACACTTCATCATCCTATTTTCCACTCTTAGCTTTCAATGACTTTATCAACCATGGGCAAGGGAGAAACCAAAACTCCTACTGTTCACAGAAGGAAATGCTGAAAAGGGGAGGAAAAAAACAGAGAACATCTAGGTCCTGATTTGTTTCAATAAAGAATCCCATTAACTGGTGAGATGCATTCATAGTCACACTATTTAAAGTTATAATTATATATTATTGTTATTGTTTAGTTGGTTTGGTCATGTCAGATTATTTGTGACCACATTTGGGGTTTTCTTGGCAGAGATACTGGAGTGGTTTGCCATTTCCTTCTCCAGTTCATTTTACAGATGAAGAAACTGAGGCAAACAAGTTTAAGTGACTTATCCAGGGTCACACAGCTAATAAGTGTCTGAGGCCAGATTTGAACTCAGGTCTTGACCTGGTACTCTATCCAGCTTGCCCCTCTGCCAGTTAGCTGCCCCTACTCTACTTTACTTTGCTCTAAAATATACCCTGCCCCCTCCAAACAACATAGTCACCAGAGAGTTAAGTCCAAGTGTTCTGTGACTAAATGAATTTGGCAATGATTGCCTACAGCCATATTTTAGAGTTGTTAATCTGGGTGTTGGCCTGTGTGTGTGTGTGTGTGTGTGTGTGTGT